TGGTATTTAATTTATTTTTTTGTTTTGTTTTGCCTTGTATCCTCTTTTTGGATATAAAATTTTAACCAAATCTTACTCCCATTCTCCAGAGCTGAGAAATCAGTTTACATGGACTTCATCACCCTTCGTGTACAGTTCCCTGAAATACGAAGTTTAGTATCGAACCAAAACTTTGCCTATCTATCCTGAATTCCTTTTCTGCGCTTTAGAGCTGTTATCGCGTTCTATGCTTTTGATTCAAAGTTTTCAAAACTGAATATGAGTAATAAAGTAATAAATTACCCATGTTTATTATAACATGACAATGAACTAACTTGCTTATTATCGATTGATTAATTCAACAACAACAACAAAAATCCAATGCTGTAATAAAAAGAAACAAAATAAAAACTAACAAAAAGCTAATAGGCTTCCCCACTAACGCTAATCAAAAGCATTGCTTTGTCCCTAGGTCCTGACCGCATCCTCAGAGACTTTCAGCTGATGCTGGGGAAAAAGCCACCATACGTTTTTATCATTCTCTGGAGATTTGTCACACCAGTAACGCTCACTGTAAGTTTGTCTTTGATTAAGTTAGTTCCTTCAAGTACGTCTCTGTTTTTATAACGTTTTTTTAAACATTTTTGATTAATTTTTGTTTTGTTTTGTGTTGTTTCACATAAAGGTTAATTCATCTTTGATAACTGTTGTCGCATAGAACATTTATTGCATGCAAGCAAATTCATAATACAAAACATTTATTGTTCTGAAAAGGTAAGTTTGTCTTTGATAAAGTTGTTACAAAATAGTTTAAGTGTATCTTTGATATCCTTGGTTTCATAAAGGTCAATCTATTGTGAATAACTTTTGTCGCGTAAAAGTATGTCAAATATGTGATAATCCTTAATAACGTTTTTACATGAACGTAAAATCAAACTTTCATAATGTTTGATTCATTAAAGTAAGTCTACCTTGACAGCGTTTGTAAAAGAGATGTTGTTATACTATGTCTATGGTAACCATGTTTCTTTTTTTTTTCTTCTTTATAATGGAAGTGACAGATCTGAAACAACATCTGCGGACATAGCTCGCCTCATCATCAAATGCATGTATTTATCTGGTGTACTAAACAGCCCGCTATTATCCTTGTTTGTTGTGGGGGGTTTTTGGGGGGGTCGTGATTAGTCTCTTCACGTCTTCTAAATAATATGTTTTGTTTTTTTCTTGATCTTCTTAGATCTATTCTTCTTCTTTTGCCTTCAGTTCTTCTGACAGTCACGTCTAAACTCATTTTATAACATTTAATGTCTGTGGGTTTTTCCTACAGGTGGTTTTAATTTTTACGCTCTTGACGTACAAGCCTCCAAAAATCGAGGACTTTGAGTACAGTAAACCTCTGCAGGGTTTCGGATGGTGTGTGGCTCTGACATCTTTTGTTCCCATTCCACTTTGGGCTACTTACAAGCTGATCACTGCGCAGGGTACTTTAACAGAGGTGGGTATGGCTGTCTTTGTTTTGTTAAGTTTGTTTTTGTTTTGTTATGTGTTTTCCTTGGTTGGGGGGGGGTAAATTAACTTCAATCCATTCCCACTACCTTCTATTATAATGAGTTAGCAGATGGGTTTCAGAAGTTAGTGTCTCTGGTGAAATTGGTGAAATGATTTTTCGATTCGCTGTCGCACGTAGGAGACCCGAGTTTGATTCCAAAGTGGGGATGTGTTTAATCCAGTTTCTCTAACTTTCTGCAGGGATGTTGCATCACTCGGATCCTGTGTTGTCCCTGATAGTCAGGGCCAAAGCCCACCTAAAAGTATTGCTTATCTTTGGGATCAATAAAAAAAACTCACTTACATAAAAAAAAACCACTTCAGAAACAACTCAAGACTAGAACTGGTGGTGTAGTAGCTAGGCTCGTAGCCATTTTTCAAAATGTTTTTTAAAATTTGTATCATGTTCATCAAATTAATGTCTTCGTCTCTTGGAAAAGAAACTGTGTCCCATCCAACCCTAATAAAGTCTGACACGCAGTCTTTTGATTAATTTAAAATCCTGTCGATTTAGGGAAGTGTGTGTGTGTGGGGGGGGGGGGGGGGGGGG